CTGTGATTGGTCAATTTCTTACTCTTACTTCTTACTCCGTGTATTGTAGACGGGCCTTTATGTAGAATGGACGTTTAACGAAAGTCATATATTAAAAAATTTTAATATAATAAAGTAGACGTTTAAAGCCGCTTGTAAGCGCTTTAAGCGTTTGTAATCATCATTCTGTGTTTATCGTTCATTAGACATAAAAGAAATACCGAATAGCGCTGAAAGCGTCCAACTCGACTGCAGCCTTGATTTGGGGTGCATTATTTTATTTTTATTTAATATGGTGAACAACAAGGATAAAATGATGCAACCAAGATAAAGTTTCTGAACAATTATGTTTGCATGAATCTCGTTCTACGTTCTATTCTACTTGTATGCATGATAATATCATGCTTGTATGACTATCTGCTTCTAGTTGGCATTTGAATTTCGGCATGAGTCCAGTGTCCACACTCCACATCACAGTCTGCACAAGTCGGCATGGATGATGGAAGTCACTCGACTTATTTGTAGTGACGCTTTCCTGACTGTATTGACATTGACCTTCGTTTGAAGACAGGTGCTATAAGAAAGAAGAAGCTGCAGTGACGCGTTTGCTGTTGCTATATATTGTGCTACATATCTTTCAATATCACTAAAACACTTTAGCAGTTCTAACATTACTGCTACATAATTGCTAACCTAACTTATATTCGTGAAAACTAATGACTCGTTAACGTATTTATGTGATTTTATATCGATATTTAGGCAGCTGTGTGACAATAAATAATGGCGTCAGGATTAGAGAGTTACGTAAATCGTATCCTTTTTATATAATTTATTATTCAACCAAGTTGTGACGAACGTAATAAATGTATTAATCTTTAACTGACTAATTTACCTAGATACAGTTTCCATTATCACATCGGATGGTAGGAATTTCATTGTGAGTACACAGGTTATTCGCAAAATTATGAGAATTCTGATTTACATACGTAGTTTGTAATTGTTTTGTACTTTGCTCAGAAATATAATTACAATAAAACGCAATACCATGTTTACATTATTTTGTAACTCATGATTATTAAATTTAAATATTTCTATTTTTATGCAACTTTTGATATTAAAGTTTTATTCATTGACAGAATGTAATTATGCAGCTGAATTTTTAAAAATATAAAATATTCAGAGAGTATTATCAGATCATTCTAGGTATTTTAATGTCTCACAAATATTTCAAAAATAAAGCTTAATTCTTTGAAAATGTTTCTCACGAATGTTTTATATATCAAAACTTTCATTATATAATTGCATTCTGCTAAAAAATAAAATTTTAATATCAACAGCAGTATGTTGAAAAAAGCTATATATTTAATATCCCTAATAGTGATTCAGCTTATCTCCATAAACCAAGTTTTTTGTTTTAGGGTACCCTGAAAGGTTTTGATCAAACTATCAATCTAATTTTGGATGAATCACACGAGCGTGTATATAGTACGACACAGGGAGTGGAGCAGGTTGTCTTGGGTTTGCACATTATCAGAGGAGATAACGTGTCAGTATAGTTTCTTGAGATATAAACTGTGTACACACAAAGTAGTTTTAATAATCGTATTATAATAATTGTTCCTTTTATTATTACATCAGTATTTATCACTAGAAAAATATAGAAAAATAATTTCACTTTGCACTAACATTTATATGAAAATAAATATCTAACATAAATATTCATGAAGAATACACATTGCTTATCATGGTGTACTTCTTTTTCAGAGCGATAGTAGGAGAGATAGACGACGAAATGGACGCGAGATTGGATCTATCAACAATACGAGCTGACCCCCTAAGTTCTATCACCCATTAATGAATATATCTGAAATTGCAATTTGGAATCGTCGTCTATTCTCATCTAAATTTAAAATAAGAACAATCGCGAGCATTATAAGAAAAAAAGTAATACAACTTTTCACATAGGTTGTATATTGTACAAAAATCTTCCATTTATCATATGTAGACACGTTTAGCATATAATAACTGTATTTTAAAAAGTGCACAGAGTTAATACAACAGTATTTACATCATTGAAACAAACCGAAAACTTTCGTTTGAATCAACAACTCGTCTGTACAAAAATCTTGCTACATATAATGATAGTAAACTTTACAAATGTATTTTCTTTACAAATGTAATTTCGCTCTGCGTTTATATAATGTAGCAATAATAATAAACAAAAGTGTATAGATTAACATCGATTAAGGACTATAATTCAGTGAAAGTTAGTATCCTGTATCTATTCTTAGATTCATGTGAAAGAAGATATATATAACTAGAAATTTCTGCTTTTTTTAATCGCAATATTATCATTAAAGTTCAGATACGCAAGTCCGTACTACCAAAAAGAATCTGTAGAGGAGCTAAATAGTTAATCTGCATCGGAAGTGTGCGAAATTATAGAAATTACGAATTATATTATGATACTTCGATATATGATTTGCATGTTTCTAATCGAAGCATTTGAAATCTACACATATTCATATATCTTCTTCTTTAAAGCGTAAAAAAGTACTAAGTTACATATTTTGTAAAATCGATATACATTAATTTTTTTACAAAATATTGCAGTTCATCTTAGAATCTCTACATCTCCATGACACGTAAAGTTGTGCATGTCGATTTACGAATCGTGAATGTCAATCGTGAAAAGTAATAACACGTGTCTTACAGATCGCAGGCATTCGTATGTCTCTTGTGGAAGACGTTAATTATCAATTCAATCATTTTTATCAACATTCGCTTGTGACATTTTAGATTTCGTTTATTTTCGATTAATTATTTCGGCGCGACTTACGTGTGCTAAATGTCTTCATAGAATCTATTTATTGTAAACGAATGGATACATATTTGTAATTGTTTATATATAAGTATCTCCTATATTATGAACTTACATGTTTACTTAGTGTTCTTGAGAATTATGCAACGAATTATAAATAAAGAGTGATGGATCCGGTATAATCTGAGTGTTGGAATACACCGACTTTTATGTGGTATTCCAAAGGAAAATTGCACATATATGAGCATTGTGATATAGTTTCTCATTTATTATAATTTAAAATTTTTACGTACCATGAGCCATCGCTCAACAATTTTCAATCTATTCATAATCGTCATCGAACGTTAGTTATATTATCAAATCTTTCTCTAGAGTAAATCTACAGATTTAATTTTATATAAATCAAAGATGTGTATGCATATTGATAATTATTTGTAAAGAATATTTATAAATATTTACATATTTTTATAGATTTGTAAAGAATAAATCTGTAGAACTACACAAGAAAGTACCTTGATGTTTATCAATACACGAAAATAAATTGGAAAGACTTTAAAATATTCTTTTGAGTGTTACATGCACGCATATATACACACGCGAATTCTATCGCTTGTGAGAATTATAATGAAAGGTGTTCGCAATCTATTTTCCCTAATATATCTTTTAATTGTTGGTCACCATATTGGTCCTACTGCGATTTCTTCGGCGAACACGGCCGCCGCGCTGTCTACTGCCCCAATCGTCACTATTCATCGGACCAAAATTGGGTCCATTTGATCCATTCGGACCGAACGGATCACTGCTACCGCCATTAGGTCCTCCAAAATTATTGAAATTGCCACCGCAAGGATAAGGCGGCCCTCCCTCGTAATTATCCGGTCCGAAGGTACCGGGCCCAGGGCCCAATAGTCCGGCTCCATTGTTACGCTGCGCGTTGAAACGTGGATCGAAATTCATCTGACCTTGGGACGGCATCGGAACAGGTCCATTCATACCCATCGACGGACCGTGTGGCATACCCATAGGCGGTATATTCTGCGGCGGCATCGGTCCAGCGTTCATCATAGGTCTCATTGGACCCATGTTACCCATGTTCATTGGATGGTTTGGACCCATCGGACCTATCATACTTTGAGGTGGACCCGGAATGCCGCCAGGCAATGGACCGCCAGGCATACCAGGTCTCACTTGCATGCTGGCGGGACCAAGACCGATGTTGGATCCCATTGTCTCCATTGGCTGCATCCCTTTAGCCATCATTGCAGCATTGGTCGCATTTTGCGAGGATTGTTGATTGGAAGCTGCTGCTTCTAGAGTTTTCCGTCGTGGATCTGAGCGAACACATTGCGGCGGCGATTTCGGTGTCTCCTGCTTCATCTGTGGCGGTGGTGACATTGGCGAGTCGGCTAGTTGCTCAGGTTTGGTGATACGGAAGATCTTGCGGAGGCGCGGATCATATTTGACCTGTGCATCATTCTTGGTTAGCTTGAGGCCAGTGTAATCCGGTCTGGGTATATCGACTACATAAACTTTGTATGCCATCGGTGGATGCGACGCGATACTTGCGTCGATCTCAGTACATGGTATATGCGCAGGTGCCGGTTTGAACGGTAGGCTCAGTATCTGCCGCAGATCTACATCGGATTTGACACGCAAATCTGTGTCACCAAAATCGCCAGACTGGAAACGTTGTCGGAAATCCATGTCTTGTCGTCTGAGATCTTGATCCGCTCTCGTGCGAAGATCAGTATCCATGTTAGCGTCTACCGCGGTAATACCGGAACTGTAGATGCTCGTTTCTAGCCTGAGGGGCTTCTGCTCTCTCTTCACATCAGAAGATATGCTAGGGCTGCTCGGTTTCTGCTCAACTTCTCGACGTTGCCTGGGATCCCGAGACATTCGTGGATCCCTGGATATAGACATTGTTGATGAACTCGGACCCGGTGACCGTCTCGGACTTGACGATGTCTCGCTATCTGTCTTTATATCTTGCATTGATTTAATCTTCGACGTATCTTGATTCGAGTTTGCCGCTTGCTGCGTCTTGTTGTTCGTGGAACTCTGAGCCTTCAGGGTAGAGAGCAATTTAGATACCTCGGCACTGATATCAATCTTGCTCAGGTCACCTAGTTTGTCCACAATAGCGGCCGGTTGAGGTACATTGGATATAGATGTCGCAGACTGGAAGTTCTCTTTGATAACAACATTCTGAGTCTTTTCGATGGATTCAATTTCGTCTTTCGAACTATCCACTATGGTAAGATTACCTCCCTCGTCGTCATCATCATCGTCGTCTTCGTCATCCGAATACCAATCTTCGATTATTTGATCGGTATTAGGTGCGTCGGAATCATTATCCATGTTTTTCAAACTGTCCTGAGCCGCGCGTTGTTGCTGTTGTATTCGCATAAACAATTCTTGCGCCTTTTTTGGTAAGCGAGGTGGCATTGTCTCGTGAACTTCTATACATGAAGAAATGAGACGTTCACCTGTTAAACACAGATATAATTGTTTTTTCCAATTATCTGTATGTACATAGTATTTGATATGAATTATATTAATAACAATGAAGATTAAAAGCAATATACAGAGTGTCTCACAACTACCGCACTTTCCTCTTAAGAATGTATTCTTGAAGTAATTTTGAGACGAAAATCCTAATTCAAAAATGTCGAGGCTAAAATAGTTTTTGAATTATAATTGGTTAAAGATAGTGTATAATTCAAAAACTATTATAGAATGTTCAAAAGAATCCAGAAATAATAATAGAGGCTATAAAAGTAAAACAGTTTTTAAGCATTTTACTTTTAAAGTTAGGTTATAATTCAAAAAATTATTGTAGTTTGACATTTTCGTATTGGGATTTACGTTTCAAAATTACTTCAAGAAAATATCCTTAAGAGGAAATGTGATAGTTGTGAGACATCCTGTATAAAATATCAATTAGTAAAAAAACAGAAACATAATAGGCTAAATATAGATAAACATTATTAAATATCTTATATATATTAAATATAACTGAGGAAAAAAAAATTAAAAATAAGATAATTTCCATTCTTACTTTGTTCGCTACTGTGGAGCTTTCCCCTTTCCTTATCCTCATCTTCAGTTGGCACTTCGATAACGAGTTCCGATTCTTCATCTTGATCACTTTCGTCGTCAAGTTTATTCTTAGTAAGACTTGCTACTTTATCGGCTATACTAAAGACAAGTGGTGGCGATTTCTTTGCATTTAATAACTGCCTTAAGTCAATATCTTTCCTCTTTCTCAACTGCAAATGAAGATAATATAAATTTCATAATAACTGTGCTAATATTATAATTTTTAATTCAAATTTAGTTGTAAACGTAATTCATAATAACAATATAAATCATGATATAAATTTGCGCAGTAAATAAATTTAAATAAATTTAAATTATATACCTCATCTGATATATTTGTTTCTTCTATGGTCTTCAGATAATCTTCTTTTGTTTTTTCAAGAGTTTTATTTGATTCTGCAGTTCTTTCGCTATAGAAATCTACAGGCGGTGCAGCAATTTGTGTCTGTTGAGTGGCTAAACCTAATGCCGCGTTCGGAAGTTGAAGCCCAAGTTCATTTGCTGACTGCATTAGCATAATCTGCTCATAAGGAACTCTGTCCTCATCTGATCCCCATCGCGTCTTTTTTCCAGAAGGTTTTCTTTCCCTCACATTAATCTTTTGCTGATTTGTTTGTTCTTCTATTTAATAATTAAATATAATTACGATTTTAGTATAACAATTAAAACGAATACAAAAATAATATCACAATATTTTGTAAAAATTGATTAATTTCCATTTATTAAAAGAGAGGATTACCTTTCTCTTCTTTTTCATCAGCCTTTTCTACAGGTACTGATAAATTCAATTCGAAGAGACTAGGAATCTTTTGATTTGTTGTATCTTGACCTTGTGCTAAAGAACGTGCTGTATTATTTATCATTAATACTGCACCTTCTCTACTTAACCTTGGAAAATCACCAAGAATTTCCTTTGGTGCAGTTTCCAAGTGTTTTAAAAGAATACCTTTTATCTGAAAAATAAATCACAAAATAATTCAAATATAATTAATAATTACTTTCAGTAATAAATTTAGTATAACTCATTTCATTTTTTATTAGTATCAAATTTTTTTATTTATACCTCATATTTTGACACTATAATACTTTTTTTATAAATTGATACATATTATGATGTTATAAAATTACAATATACCTGTTCGTTTAAAGGCTGATGAGAAAATTTACAGTTGTCACCCTGACTGCACTTTAAACCTGTGTGGAAGAACTTGCAAGGAAAATCATGATGCATATAGAGGCACTTGTCTCGTTTTGCACAACAATCCATAAGGTAGAACTTGCACAATTCCATCTTTCTAGGTGGCAAAGCGTTGTGCGAATATGGACAATCATCCCCCCTGTGACACTTTCCTTGCATATAATATACGCAAATTGTGTCCGATTGATCTTGCCCGTGATCGTTGTTCTGCTGACGCCGACTATTTCGATCATTTCGAGCTTGACCCCGGGTCTTGTTCTTACCGCGTTCGTTCTTGCCACCACGACGCCCTAAAAGCGTTAAAAGTAATGCGCAATGTAGTAGATAAATTATAATTTAAGCAATTTTAATTAGGGTAACTCCAGTATATATACGCTGCGCTGGGATTTACGCCGCGGAAGTCAGAAAAAATAGAAGTAGTAGGGGTAATTTTCTCGCAACTACTCTGTTACATGCCTTTATGTTATATTAGTACTGAGTTATAATTTCAGCTTCTTATTGTTAATATTGATGAAATTATTGTGAGTTGAATCGATTTGTCACTGTGTGTGTAACAAGTAGCATCATCATAAATTATAATCTACATAAAATGATTACTGTAAGCCTCGTGGTCTAAAGGCTTAGGACGCTCGTACGGAATACAGAGAGATCCGGGTTCGACTCCCGGCCGAGGTAATATTTTTCGCAAGAAATTTATTAACAGTTTTTCAACATATTAACATCTTTATAACATGATGCCTGATTGCAGCATGAAATTATTAAAATTGCTTATCAATTTAATTCGCGATTACTAGAGTAGTTTAATTGCCGGAATTTATAGTCCGGAAAAACAATTCGGCGCGCAGTTCGAAAAACTACAATATAGTATATATGCAAGTACATGTATGGTATACATATATAGTAATTCAAGATTGAATTATTTAAGCAATGAAGATCTAGCTTCGACCGTTATAGACATTTTAATTTCTAATATTGATTGTATATATAATATTTTAATTATGTCTTCACAATTAAGAGAAATAAAAAGTATATCTCTACCTCCTCC